AAGGGCTGGCATGGAAGCTGGGAGGTGAGTGTGCAGGTGTAGGCTGGGGCAGGGTGCATCTGCAGTGACCTGTTCCAAAGGGCTTGATTTTCCTACCGTAGGCAATAGGTTTTAGTTCAGTGGTGGTTTTTTGGTTTTTGGTTTTTGGTTTTTTTTAAGCAAGGGAGTGATATAACCAGATTTGTGATTTGATTTTAGAAAAGTATCATTATGAGAAAATGTTCACCATAATACATGAGGAAGAGGGCTACAAAGTAGTTTTGTTTTCATTTTTAAAAACAGAATCAATATGTAGTCTCTCTAAAGGATATTCACTAAAATAACTTTTCATTTCAGCAAAGGAAATCTATTAGTGGTTTTTTACCTTTAAATGTCTGGATTTTCTAAATGCTTATGAACATATACAACTTTTTGAATTTAAAAAAACAGTGGGGAGTGGGGTAGGGACACGAGTGGGATGCCCAGGGACTGAGCGAGACCAGACTGCAGGGAGGCCAGTTGGAAGACTGTCCTCATAGCTCAGGTGTGATCCAGGGACTCCTGGAGAGGGGAGTGGCAGTGGGAACAGGGGAAGGGCCAGCATCCTGGGCAATTTCAGAGGCAGAGTTGATGACTCTTGGTGACCACTTGGAATGAGGTTGGTGGAAAGGGGACAGAGAAGAGGAGGAGTCAAACACGCCCCATGGGACGGGACAGACTTGAGCTCACCCGACAGAAAAGCTCTGTCCTTTGCCTCTTGCACTCCAGAGCTCTGAACATGGCCCTCTTGTTGTGGCTCCAAGCCAGACTTCTTGCCTTTCTCTGTCCACGCCAGCTAGCTACAGCAGAGACAATGGCCAAGTCTTTTCTTCTTACTGTGGCGGTGCACTACCTCCTCGCCCAAGCCTACCTACAGCATGCTGCCCCCCACATTGGAAGGGGCCTTAGTCCAAAACTCCATGTCTAAATCTGCTGGGCCTGGGAGAGCTAGGTTTGTTATCCAAAGCTCAGCTTCTTTGAAGGCAATTAAAACCCCAGTGTGGGAGACCTTTGGCACCAGCTACTTTTTTTTCCACCTAGCAGACTCTTAGCACAGATCTAATAGTCCACCAGCTTAAGGAGACCAATGCATTACCCCAGAGCCAAGGGGGAGATGACTCTGCACACACACTGCCGCTCTGTGAGTGCAGCTCTCCACTCGCTCTTCCCCTTCCAATTTCCCAAAGCTCCCATTCAACAAGGAATGGATCTGATTAGGAAGTTTTACTTGGGCCAAACAGTTGCAGCCCTATTCTCATCAGACAGACAGGAGTGGGGGCCAATTTCGACTAGAAAAGCCAGAGAAAATGAGTGACAACTATAGAATTGAGCTGGCTAGGCCAAGGAGGAGCTGCAAAGGAGAAAATTGTCTCAATTAAGTCAAATCCATCCTCAGATAATGAACTGTAGAATCAGTTCCAAGCCACCAAACTGCCTTTTGCTTAGTCACATTAATCTGTCATCTTTTCAACTATGTTTCTATTCCTGCCACCTAATAAAAAAGTACGAGTCCACTGCCCACTCATGCAAGGGTCTACAGAACATGAGAAACGGGCAAATTCTAACTAGAGAACAGTATTTGTGATTGGCTGAATAGGCTATGACCCAGCTCCAGATTCCCAAAGCAAAACAATTTTGACTCAGAAAAATAATTTGATAAAGACAACTTTCAAAAGATTAGGCATAAAGACTTTTGTACCATATTGTGAGGAAGAAAGGCTAATTAGAAAACAAAATTTAGTTGGCGGTGTGCTGGAGTTGGCTCTTGCTGGTTCCCAAGAGCTGATTGTTAAATTTTCAGGAAGTTTGCAAGCTGGTTGACATCATGTTGGTACTTTGAAATCAGCCATGGTGGGAGTATTTACACCATGGAAATTGGCAAGTGCTACAAATCAGGATGGCCCCTCCTCACCAGCTATTTGTTAAACATTTAACAGCACACCACCAAGTATGATGTCATTCCATTTTTACAGTTCTGTTTATATGCGCATTGAGATGTGTGTGTGTGTGTGTGTGTGTGTGTGTGTGTGTGTTTAAAAAGTCAGTAAGTAAAGTAGCTAAAACATTAAAACACTAACTGTTTTAATTCTGAGTGGTGAGACTAACAAGTAGATTTTATCTTCTTTGACTTTATTTTTTTTTTTTCCAACAGCAAACATGTACTCTTTACACAAAGCCAACATTTTGACAAAAGGGAGAGGGAGCAGTTTCTTTTCCTTCTAAGCTCTCTGATTTCCACCTTTTCTCTCCTCCTTCTTCTTTATTCTCCACCTGCCCTGGCCTCCCAGGTTTTTATTCTCTTTGTAGAGTGGTACTGAAATCCCAACACCTCTACTACGCCCAGGCAAAGCAGAACTCCAGGCAATGAGAACAAGTGAGTTCTGTCTGCAGGAAGAGAGCCCCAACTCTACCCACACCAGGCTCAGCAGCTGGGTGAATTGGCATCTGGACCTCTGCCCTAGGCACAAAGCTGTTATTGGTGATTTAACAAAGGAGAGATGATCAGCTGTAAATAACAGGAGTATCAGCCTAGGTGACCCCAGGGCCCTTGGACGGGACAACACCATTCCTCTAGGTGTCCATATCAGCTTTCACCAGATGATTCCTGTTGTTTGTAGAGCAGGCTCATCACTCTCAACACTTCCGCATCTATCATCTCATCGTATCCTTGCCATAGCTGTGTGTTCTCCCTATTTGACAGACACATAAACCCAGGCACACAAAGTCCAAGTGACTTGTCCAAAGTCACATAGCCAGGAGCAGAACTGGGACAACAATCCAGGTTTTAATTCTAAATTCCAGGGTTTTTTCACTAGACTGTATTGAATATGTCATGAAACCTCAAATTTCCCGCTATACAGTCAGAATGAACGCTGAGCTCTCATTATCTCATAATTAAATGTCTAAGAACATTTTCAAGTAAAGGAAAGGGGGCTATTAACGTGAATTTGACTTGGTTTTGGAACCAGTTTATGGTCTGTGCAGGAAGGTAAGCAAAATTCCACCTTGTTTTGTCCTGCTTGCCACACCCTCCCTGTGTGAGAGACTTTGACGTTGGGTGACTGTTAGTATTACTGCTGTGTTGCTGCTCGATGGCTTTCACATCCTAATCCCACCGACTGTGACCCTCAAGACACACCTGTTGCCTCCAAATTCCTGTCTTCTCACAAACAGGAGAAGGCTAGGACAAGAAGGGCTGTCTAACACTTCATGGGACATTCCCAAGCAGACAGTGGACAACATGTGTGTCCGTGGTCTCCTGGCTCCAGTTACCTAACTGGCCTGCAGATACCTCTGGTTGGTCTGTGATTCATGGAAAGGCTTGACCCTGTGCAGATGTGACCCTTCTAAAAACAGAAGGGGCCCTCCAGGCAAAAGTGTCTGGGAACCCTGAAAAAAAGGCAGCACTGAATCCAAAGTCTTGTTGACTAACCTTCTGAGATAGAAGATAAGTTTAAATTTTATCCAATCCAGTGTCTTCTAATGTTGCTGCTGGGAGGTCAAGGAATCACCTTGATACGTGAGACAGGGGCCAAGTAGTTGGGGCTCAGGTGCCCAATCCTGCTCCTCCCCCAGTGCCAACTGGACAGAGAGTACCCACTCTTATTGATTTAGACATTGACTTTCCACATCAAAATCATGGTTTAAGAAAGGGTTCCAGTGCCCCAAAAATAGTACGTTTGAAAACCACTCATCGAATCTGATGATCTTATTTAATAGGTTGAAAAAATTGAGGTCCAGAGAGCAAAGGCCACCCAGACAGTGAGTGAAGGAGCCAGGTCTTCCCACTACACTCAGTCTACTCTTGCTTCAACTGTCCTTCAGCTTGGCAGGAAGTCATGGGCTCATGAAATACTCCCGTCTTTTCCATCTACTACTGCTTTTGCTCTTGCTCTTGCTCTTGCTGGTGAGGAAACGATCATTTTCAATTTTGGTCTAGGCTCCAGTACCTGCACTTGCCTCCCTGTTGACTTAGATTTCCTGTTCATGGACCCTGGCCAATCCAACAGCAGACCTGCCGGACCCGGTCTTAACTCCACATCCTCTGCCTCCCCACACAAGGCAAATCTGCACCAACTTTGGTGGCCCTGGGAGCTGCCAAAACAGCCGCATCAGCCCTGGATGTAATAGATTATAATATATCCAGTGTCCCATGCACAGTATGCCCTGACGCAGTGTTACTAATGATGCCAGCGATAAGTTTGGCGATGACAAAGTAGCTGTGCACAGATAAACACCAAAATATACTGCAACATCCACACAAAGACAGATCCCTCCAAGAGTTCTGGTAGTTACATGGATATTAAAATAGTCTCACAGACAGTCCCTATCACTCTCTATTTCCTCATTTGTCAAATACAGAGTAGCAGAACTGTATCTATTGTCACAGAGGTTCCTAATTTACGCACAACAAATACATTTGACTTAAAGCTCATCTCCAAGCAGTTTGATGAAATCGTGCTTATTTGCACAACCGAAGAATTTTCCCTTTACACACTGCATCACTGCAGTGTTTCCATAAACAGCAAGCTTCCCTAATGGTTCGACCACACACTCTTCTTTACAAAGAAAAAGCATGCACATTTTCAAGACCACAACTCCTGCAAAAAGTGACATGCACTTGAATGAAAAATATGAGTGAAAGAAAGTAAAAAGACAGAGAACTAGATCTAGAGCTAAGACCATTCATGGCATTTTGACTTTTTTCCTAAAGTTGAGGCTTTACAGCAGAGAAACTGCCCTGGTTTGGTGCTTTGCACATAAAGCGTCCCTGTGGAGTCCATGTGTGTAGAGCTCTCTAAGCTGCTGGGTTCCATTTATACCAGGCTCCTCTCGGGTGGCCATTGCTTGGTAGTAGCATCTCCTTCAAGGAATCTGGCCTGGCCCAAGAAATCCCACAACCCTAAAGGCCAGCGGAGTTAGAACAGATTCTGGGCACCCTGAGTATTCTAGTTCTGTTTACAGTTCCTGACTCCACCGACAGCCAACAGCAGCCAGTGAACTTGGAACTAGGCGTGGCCTAGGGTAACCTGGGACTGCGGCTACTCAGGATGAATTCCCCAATCCCAGACAAGCCCCCCTAAATACGCTCTTCCAATCCCAAAGCCTGCCATTCAACTGCAAATGAAATTCTCTTTGAAGAACACACAGGGAATCCTGTTCAATTGGCTCATAGGCTCTCTGTTGTCTGTGGTATCTCTGAGCCCGGCTAAGGGAGGTTTTCTTTAAACCTGTGGGAGACCTGAGAGTGCAGGGATGGTGTCAGACCCCAAGCCTCTGACAGCATCGGCTTGGCTTAAGAAGCTGTGGTAAAACTAAATTATCTGACATTTTCTTCTTCATCCTCTTTTATTTTTCTTCCACAAACAGAACGGGCTCCAAATGTGACCTACTTTCCATTTCTTTGTGATTATGCAGAACTCACAAAGCTTGTTCTTCAGCCTGACTAATATTTTCAGTGACATGCTTTTCATCTTGCGGAAAAGAAGAGTCCCCGTCAGCCTGCCAGAGCACGTAAGTCTCAGTGAAATGACCGATGAGGACGGACGAGTTACAAAGACTTCACTCAGGGACACATAAGAGGCTCTAATGGAGCACAAAAACAAAACAAAACAAAACAATAACAAAATCCAGATCTGGCCCCTTGAAAGTAATTAGCATTTAGCCTGAAAGTTTTCATCAACAAGAACCACGATGTTATTGATGCGCTAAGTGACTCTAAAGTTCCTCACCGCAGCCCAAGTCCTGTAACTCCAGACTCTGTGGCCTCGGCCTGGAATCCTGCCGCGCTCCAAAACCCACTCAGGCCCTTCCAGACTCTGCATTTTGCATTAAAAATTAATTGACTTCTTCCAACTCTTCAGTGATTCAGAACACAACGGGGTTTTAAAGGATTGGGAGGAACAATTTAAAAATAAAAGCCAAGCACCCGGCTTGAGTGGAAACCTAGCTCTATTAGTCAAAATTAAGTTGGTATTGACTTTTCTGCCCTATTTTTACCTTGGAGGCTATGCATTTTTTTAATGTCTGATCTGCTGTCCTTTTCTGACATCGAAATTCCAAATTCCAGTTGGTAATTGGGAAACATTTACTTGGTGACTTGAGAAACGTCACTGCTGGCCAGAAACTCTGGCACTGGGACTTTGATCCAAAGCTTCGCTTTTATCCTCAGTGAGGTGAAACAGAGCTTGCTAAATGTTTACCAGACAAATTGTTCAAAACAGAAACAGACTTACAGCCTTGGGATCCAACTGTGTTTGCTTCCCTCCAGGTTAGTTCGGCTTCAGGCCACATTCGGGCTATCTGGTCAACGCGGACTTAAACCGAAGCCTCACAGCCTGAGGAGTCTGGAAAAATCACCGTGCTGTGTCCCAGAGGGGCTCACTAGTTGCATCTGGCCTCGAAGGATGGGGATCTCCAGCTTCCTGAATATACCGCCTCCCCTGCAAACTTGATTCCATCTGCACTGCGGGTAAATAGTTCAATTCATTCACTCATTCATCCTGAAAGTATTTACTGACACCTCGGGGCAGCACTGTGCTCAGCACAGGGAACAGGAAGGTGAACAAAACAGACGTCGTCCCGCCTTTAGGGGATCTGTGAGGGTAAAGACAAAGACAAGGATTCCCGGTGTTGGAACAGGGGAAGTAGAGGGTGCTATTGGCTCTTAGCCTCTGCCTCACCCCTCTTCCTACCTGAGGCTCCCCAGCCCTCCACCCTTGTCCCTGCTCAGCACCACCAGTAATCCCTGGTACAACTGTGACATTCGGCAGGGAAGACTGGAGAGCTGCTCAGTGTCATACCCTTTGACTCAGCGTCAATGCAGCCTCATCACTGCTTAAGTCCTGATCGTGTCCCCAGTTCTAACCACTGAAGCCTCATCTATCTCTAGAGCCAGCTCCTGTCATAGCATCTGGAATATCCATCACCCTGTCCCTTCGACTGATGGCTGGAAGGTGTCCCAAGCTGCCTGCCAGCCTGCTCTTCACCAAGTTCCACCAGCATTTGGAGACATTGGAGCCAACTATTTGCCTGAACCACAGTGTGCTGTTGCTGGACTCTTTTGACATGAAACTTCCCCTACTTTACCTCGGTGGAGGGACCTAACTCCAGGTCCTGGTTCTGCGCAGTTGGCACCTCCCACCCTCTTGCCATTGGCTGGGCCGAGCCTCCACATGCGGTGACAACCCTGGAAGGAAGAACTGGCCTCACAGGGCAAAAGGCTGGCTCATAAGGAAGAAGCTATTCCAAAGGAATGGTCTGGTTGTTCCCAATTTATTACTCTGCCTTGAAATACGTTACCAAAAATATTTGGCAAGGAATCTCCCTACTTAAAATGGAACGAAGTGAAAATGGCTAAACAACAGTTGGCACGAGGGACTCGGATAAATCCCCTCAAGAGGTATGGCTGAAGGAAAAACTGGGGGACAAGCCAGGAGCCACCTTCTCAGGGTCAAAGAAGATCATGCATGGAAATTGAGGTGCTGGAGGACGGACACTGAGGCACCGTCAGGTGACCCAGCTGTTGGACTCCGCCCAACAGTAACTGGCCAGTAGTGTGACCATGGCAATTGCTTCAACTCGCCGGGCCTCAGGTTCCTCATCATTGACACTGCAGATGACAAGGCCACCTAAAAGCTGTAATAGTCTTCATCTTATTTCAAGCTGACAGACTGATCTTTTATAAAATGACGTCCAAATGGGTCAATTTCTTCAAAAATCATCATGTAAAAGAGAAATGAATATAAGGATTTAAGTCATATGTATTAGTTTGAAAGAGCAATGAAAAATGAAAGTCTTAAAATGAGGAAATGAGGAACAGGTATACAGTGGCAAAACACATTCTACTGAAGGACAGCTCCCAGAGCTACTATGCCGGAAAGCGCTGCCATTATCAGACACCTTTGAGAATGGCTGTCTATGCCATAGACTTCTTAAGGTCTCTGAGAAGTCCTGTACTGTAGAAAGCTGTTAATGGTTTAAATTAGAGCTTTTAAAACTTGACCATAAAACTCTTTTTTTAATATTTAATCTATTAACATCTCTCAGATGTGGACATCTGAGTTTCACACTGTGAAAAATAATACTACAAAGGAAGTGGGTTTTTTGTTTATGTCTTAAACATAAAGAGCCCAGCAAAAAATGAGTAGGCAGAATCTTAATTTATCATTTTTAAACCTGAGTGACAGCTCAAGACTAGATGCCCATTCAAAGCTGTGGCTCGCTTGGTCTTCTCTGTCTCCCCCACTGACTGGTGGGTCACTGCAAAGGTACTGTTCAGCTGGGCAAAGACCCTAGTCTTTGCCAGACATCTCTTGTGGAGCCCCAGGACACACAGCACGCTGTCAGCAAACCAGCCAACACAGGACTAAATCACGGGGATGTCTTCTGACCTCAGGGACGTGCCTCCGCTTGCTCGGAGATGCTCCTGGACAGCTAATTGCTTTCCAGTTGAGGCTACACAGCTTTCTCACATCCATTATTCCCCAGGGTCATATTTTCTCAAGCTGCATTTTTCAAAGTCTAGAGCAGGAGGAAGAGGGAAAGAGAGAGAGCAGTGGTGGGCAGGAAATTGCTTCTTATCTTCATTATAAGTTAAATTACCATCCTCAAAATCCTTCACTTAACAATAAGCAGACCTTTCCCAATTATAGCTTTTGGGTTTCAGGTTGAAGGTTGAGGCTGCAAACTAGAAGGAAGTGTGGCCACCAATGTTTCGGGAGAAAGGAAGAGCTCATCTATCGAGAAGGAGGTGTAGTTTCCCCTCCAGGGCTCTGATAATCTGGTCACCATCAGCAGCAGTGCTGAAGGAAGCCAGCAGTCCTCAGAGGGGCGGTGTGGATGGGGTCCTGGCTGCGACTAGTGGGGGGTGCTAAGGGACAGAGCTGTCAGCAATTGAGAAAAACAGGTCAGTCTGCCCTCTGCCTCTGGGCTAGTCTGAAGCAACGGTAACGATCTCACCAAGGCGATCCAGGAAATCAGACAGAGCATCAGGGCACCTGCCAAAGGAACACACGATGAAAAATGGCCAGAGGAAGAAAAACACAGAACATGAGTCTGAGATAGCATGAGATGGGCATGTTGACAGGCGAAGATTTTTTTTCAAGGAAGAGAATGTTTCTAGGAGAGGAAACAAAAGTCTTTTCTACCATCAGATTCCCTGAACTCTCCTAAAGAAGAGGAAGAAGGTTTTGTTTGTTGTTTGAATCTTTAATGTCTGTAGGCGGGGCTTTAACTTGAGGTTGTCCTCTCCCTGTGAGGCAAATATTCCAGAGGTTCTGGAAGAGCTTTTGGACATCTGATCTAGAGGCAAATCCTCAAGGGCTTATCTCCTACCCTTGAGACCTGAAGGTTTGAGAGGGAAAAATAAAGATGAAGGGGGTTGAGGGAGGAAAACAAGAAACTGGCATTCTGAACCCTTACAGGAAAGCTATTATCTGGGGTCCCCAGATTACTTTCAAGTCTAAAGGAAGGAAAGAGTTAAGAGTCTCTGGGTCTCCTTTTTTTTTTTTTCAAACGGGTTGCATCATGCTTTACTACTTTATCATATGAAATGTGACTCTCAGGTGGACCAACAAAGAGAAGGGAATGAGCCGTGGATGGAACTGTATAAAGACTTCAGGTCCCTAAGTCCACGTGCTCCTCCCAAGCAAGGTGGACAGACATTCGCGATGGGCAGCAGGCGCCCTCTTCGGGGGCTCTGTAGCTTGGCTTCCTGAGCCTGCTGTCTTTGGTATCCCAGGGCCAGACCATCCCACGTGTATGTAATAAATAACCTTCTGGGCTTGGCTATTTTGGTGCCTTTGGTCAAGTCTGAGCTCACTACCCTCAGGGAACCAAGGTCTCCGCTGTGACCTCTTACACATCGATCTTGTGTTTTATTAGGACAGGGCTGCCTCCTTTCCTTTATTTTCGAATTTTTTGAAGATTGCTTGCCATGGTCACTTCCAACCTGTAGTCAGATGGCTGGATTCCATGGGGCTGGTTAAGCGCTCAC